ATTCAAAAAGGAATGTTGAAATATGCTGAAAAAGATAAAGGGGTTATGGTAGTTGACAATGACCCATTCCCAAACATGGTAGAGATTAACATGGTATCAACTAACTTCCAATCGATTGATCAAAAGAAGAAGGGCAAAAATCCTAGAGTTCTCTTGGTAGAATTAGAGAAGCTTCACAAAGAGAGGATGGAGAAGATGGCAAAAGAAGCAAAAGGGAAAAAAGTTCGAAAAAAATCTGGTGAGAGGTTCATTTGTTTCAGATGTGGTACTGAGAAAGAAAAAGCCAAGGCCATTGTGATTAATGGAATTCAGAAAACTGGAAAGAATGTTGGCCTGAGGTTCAACACTATGGACAATGGTGATCTGCAGATTTTCGACAATGATTGCTTGTTCTATGATGGGACAGACCTAGGGATATTTGGTCCTGCAGAGAATTATGGTAAGGATGATACTCCATTCTTGTTCCAAGGAGCTCCTGTTCATCCATGCTTTGGTGAGTTAAGTAATGTGAGGGCTATGCTTAAACAACACAAGGGTTCCAAGCCCTATGGAAGTCCAAAGGTTCTAACTAGGCCATACAATGGCCAGCAACAACAGTTTGGTACAACAACAGTTTTTCTTGTCGATTTATCTAGTAATGTAGTAGGATGTGGCCAAATGTGGCCCAGGTGTCAAGCCATGAAGATAGGCATGCAAGGGATGCAAGATACGTGTCTTATTTGCAAGAGAAAGAGAATGTTGTAGCAGAGAAGCAGTTACCAGCGGTTATGAAGATCATGGGTAATTATACAGGAAGTAGAGGTAACTTGCTCCAGGATGGGACACGTGGCAGTAGAGAAGCAGCATAAAGGCTGGAAATTCGAAGAAAAGATGATTTTCAATCAAATTCACAACTTATGTGGAGTTAGGGGTAATTTAACTTAGTTAGCAATAGCTTTTGTACTTAGGAATAGTCTGTTTGTAATCTAGCCTCTGTGGCTAAGTTTTCCTCTGTCAATTGTTGTCTTCATTAAACTTGAAATTTAATTCTTATAATTAAGTGGCAAGTTTACTAGTTCTACAATTGATTTTCAGCCTATTCATACTTGTTTCTTCGCATTATAATCTCCAAAGAAGTTATTGAATCTGTCAAGGCATTAGGACGTTCAAACCACAATTGTTTGTTCTGTTGTTGTTTGTGAAATTTTGATTCTTCTGTCGAATCTCCTTGGTCGATTTGACACAAACTAGATTTTTGCTAACAATAATTAAAAGAAATTTAAAAGATTCATTAATTTATATAGTATTACTTTACTTAAAAAATTAAGGGCTATGCTTAAACAACACAAGGGTTCCAAGCCCTATGGAAGTCCAAAGGTTCTAACTAGGCCATACAATGGCCAGCAACAACAATTTGGTACAACAGCAGTTTTTCTTGTCGATTTATCTAGTAATGTAGTAGGATGTGGCCAAATGTGGCCCAGGTGTCAAGCCATGAAGATAGGCATGCAAGGGATGCATGATACGTGTCTTATTTGCAAGAGAAAGAGGATGTTGTAGCAGAGAAGCAGTTACCAGCGGTTATGAAGATCATGGGTAATTATACAGGAAGTAGAGGTAACTTGCTCCAGGATGGGACACGTGGCAGTAGAGAAGTAGCAAGACCAGCAGCATAAAGGTTGGAAATTCGAAGAAAAGAGGATCTTCAATCAAATTCACAACTTATGTGGAGTTAGGGGTAATTTAACTTAGTTAGCAATAGCTTCTGTACTTAGGAATAGTCTGTTTGTAATCTAGCCTCTGTGGCTAAGTTTTCCTCTGTCGATTGTTATATTCATTAAACTTGAAATTTAATTCTTATAATTAAGTGGCAAGTTTACTAGTTCTACAATTGATTTTCAGCCTATTCATACTTGTTTCTTCGCATTATAATCTCCAAAGAAGTCATTGAATTTGTCAAGGCATTAGGACGTTCAAACCACAATTGTTTGTTCTATTGTTGTTTGTGAAATTTTGATTCCTCTGTCAAATCTCCTTGGTCGATTTGACACAAACCAGATTTTTGCTAACAATAATTAAAAGAAATTTAAAAGATTCATTAATTTATATAGTATTACTTTACTTAAAAAATTAACAATCATTTGATTTTAAGTTTTTTTTTTTTAAAAAAAAAAAAATTTCCTTTTGGGTAACTTCAATTTTAAGATTTGTCAATCCTCATAAAATATCTTCCACTTCCCATGGAATGTGTCTAATAATTAATAGGAAAATATTATAGATCCCAATTTTTTTACTAAATAAATGACCACCAAGTCATCCATTATTTTAGTAGTAATTTATTGTTGGATACATATAAATTATAAGAGTGAGAATCATCTACAATGATTTTTGTAGAATAATTTTTTAAATGATTGAAATTTAACTCTACTAAAGTTGAGGATATCACTTTTTAACTCTCAAAACTTAATCTTATCACTTTAAAATCACTTTATGAAAAATCAGTCTAAATGATACTGATTTAATTATAAGTACTATCCATAAAGGTTTGAACTGTTCCAAAAGGGATGACTAGGTAATACCACTATTAATACATTAATTTCAAATATATGAAATTTATTTTCTGAATTTTTTTTGTAAAAGATATATTTTCTATTAAAAAATATTTTTTGTGAAAAAGTGTTAATGACAACCACAATTGGGAAGCTCGTGAAACATCAGTCAGCATTATAACAAACTGTGACATTACAATGAGCTCTTTTGTTGTTTTCTTTTGGTAGAAGAAAACATTAGCAAACCTAAGTTGACGAAATGTCACTATAATGTCTCTATGTATTCATTAAAGTACTTATCCGAATTGTCACACTTTCACATTATCTTGTGAAAGTTCACCAATTGCAAAAGTTTCTAACATTTGTATCAATTGATTTTGTAAAGCAAAAGAAGGAAACAAAATGGAGCAATAGCACAAGAAAGTGTACTTTTAAGTATCTTTTTTTTTTTTTTTGATAAAAATTATAGAACTTCAGAGTATGAGCATGTTCTAAAAGTTAATGTTTCTTTTGTTGCTTCCATGAATTCCGGGGGAAGAACAGCCAAGTCGCCAGTGACAAGATCAGGTCTTATTATCCACAAAAAGGTCTGGTTGCTATTAGCAAGTCCCCAAGCAAACTCAACCATTTGGTTTGGTGTCATGACAGTGATGCTTCCAAAGTTCACATAAACAACAGAGTTGGGTTCTTTTGTGTCGAGCCATTCGAGACACTCGGGTTCTTCTTTCCACAGATTTTATCCTATCAACTTTAGACTATCATCGTTGATTTACGAGTAATGATTCATCCCCCTTTTTCCCCACCCCCTTTGACCCCCTCTCTCTCTCATTGGTCACATTTTCTTTTTCTTTTTCTTTTTTTTCCTGTTCCACCAATCACCTCCTGCCACGTGACAAAGGGGGGTGAGGGGGTGACCCCCAAAAGGGGGTCTCAAGCATTATTCAAAAACAAAATAGGCTATTTTAGCCACAACAAACAAAACATTACATCCAATCCATAATCATTATACTTTTTTCTCACAAAAAAAGTTAAAAAAGCTAAAAAGTCAAAAAATTCTTCCCAAACCAAGCTTTTTAGCCCATGCCAAAATAGTCAAAAAAGCCAAAAAGTAAAAAAGCCAACTCACTTCCCAAACCAACCCATAATTTCACTCCAACCCCTCCAATATCTAAATAATTTTAGTTTTGCTATCCTAAATTTTGAAAATTTTCTTTAATTTTATGCAAATTTTAGTAATTATAAAATAAATTAGTATTTTAGTCACCCCAAACTTTGAAAAATCTCATTATTTTCATGTCATTTTAAGCTTTTGTAAGATAAATTAATATTTTGGTTTTCAAAATCTATATAATCTTAGTTCAATACCTCAAAAATCTAAATAATTTTGCTTTAATCCTCCTTTTATATAATTTCTACGTCTGATTGGCCGGAATGATGAAGCCAAGGAGAGGGAGGGTTAAAATTTGAGATATTAGAATGACAGTAAAACTCAAATATTGTGTGAATAAAAAATTGTAATAAAATAAAAAATATAAAATGAGTGAGGATCTCAAAAAATCAAAAGAAAAGAAAAGATTAGATTGATAGCACCACACTTGAGAAGGAGAGAAACACCCAAATCCCAAAGGCCAATAAATGAGTGCATCTCTTAATCAGTCGAAATTTTTTGTTTTCGTTTTTATTTTTATTTTTTAAAATTGTAAATAAATAAATAAGACCAAAGAGAGAGAAAGAATTGTACAATGGAGTCATTTCAATGATTTTCATTGAGTAAAATGACTTGGGTGATTCTATTTACACTGACTAAAATTTTTTTTCACCACACTCAACTTACTATTTGAGAGAACACAGTTTCAATGCTAGCGAGATAGGTGAGCAAGATGAGCAATTAGTGGGTGTACATAGAAGCACCCACATGACTCGCATATAAATAATCATGAAAATGATATTATTACAAAATTTAGGACTAAAAAATAATGTGACAATAATATTTTTCTAATTATAAATCACAGTGATAGACATTTTGGCTTTCAGAATTTGAATATAAATGAAACTAATCATATTTCCACCTAATATGACTAATTACTACAAAATTTGACTATTTACCATATAATATGACCATAACTAATCCTACTTGGTGTTTGGCAAGTGGTTTTGGGGCTAAAATAGTCACAAAAAACAAAATATACTATTTTAGTCATAACAAACAAAATATTGCATCCAACTCATAATCATTACACTCTCTCTCACAAAAAAAGTTAAAAAAGCTAAAAAGTCAAAAAGTCCTTCCCAAACCAAACTTTTTAGCTCAGGCTAAAATAGCCAAAAAAGTTAAAAAGTCAAAAAATCAACCCACTTCCCAAACGGAACTGAAAGTGACTCTACTTACGGTTAAGATGGAAAAACAACAATGATGACACGATCCAAGAACAGTAGAATACACCAGAAAAGAGAAATTTCACAAGAGAAAGATTGAGTATTAAGGCTAATAAATTTAAGACAATTGGATATCATATTTTCCAATGACCACAATGCTAGTGGGAAAAAAAATAATTACAGATGAACTCTGCCGCCTATGATTTTCTCTCTCTCATTTCTTCTGAAACCATTGATATTGTTACATGGACCTTGAATTTGTCAAATTTACATGGAATTCAGATCAAGTGGCACGATAATCTTAAACTTTCTGGCAAATAAAGAACACACTTTCGCTTGAACGGTAAGGGGTAACTAGAGGAGTCACCACTTCAAAAATGGTTGATTGAGCAGGATCCGGATCAAACAGCTAAAATATACAAGTCATAAACGTACAGAGCCAGATTATCTTGGCGGGCAAATGCTGTTGATCAAGCAAGCAAGAAGGCACACCTTTTTTCTCCCATATATGGCACTCCTTGCAAGAAAAATTAGCCACTCTGATCACTACTTGAGTGGGAAAAGTAACAAAAAAGATCGAGTCATCTTCTCCCGAATCTTAAGCACTTGTTGGGTTTGAATTCTGACATACTATCGTTGGCAGCAAGGCGTGGCTTGCTTTCTTTATTGGAAGGGAGTTTCTCCATCGCGTTCACGAACTTGCGCAAGTGTTTAATGTACTCGGGATAAGTTTCAAGGTTACAATGACCGCCTCCCTTCACCCACAACGGATCATATTTTTCCTTGGCAAGTTCCCACAATCGCTTACCATGGGACAAGTCAACAATGTCGTCGTTTGTTCCCTGCAAAATAATTCATCGACAGAGAAAATGAAAAAAGCAACATCAAATTAGGATGATAGAAACAATAAAGTAGGAAATGACTTTCCTTTGCTATCAGTAAAAGAAAGTACAACAATGTATTAATCTGGATTTTGCAAGTACTCCTATGATTGGAGCACAAGAACAAATTTTTTTTTCAGAACAAGCCCTTCTCATGTCCATAATCAAGGAAATGACATCAATTTGCTTACAAGAAGTTTCTTTAAAAAATGTAAATCAAGAGAAAGTGAAAAATCACAAGTTACATTCAATTTCTTTTTCAAAAATAGGTGTGTGAGTTAGGGCTGCATCCACAAATCAGCCCTTTTGCAGATGATCCTTATGGAAGTTTATCTCATTGTCGTTAATGGTTATTGATTAGTATGTCAAACAAAGCAACAGCAGGACACATGCGCTCCCGTGCATTTGAGACTAGTTTGGAAACTAGCAAATTTATCCAACTTCGCTTCACAACCGTCCTAAAATACTTAAGGCCATTGACTGCAACAATAAGGATAAGTGATTTGTCTCATGTTGCAGGTAACACCAACAAGCAGGAGGTGAAAATTTGGGATGAGGTGGTGAAAATAGACACAAGGAACTTGTTATTTAGCAACAGATATTATTTGTACAGAATTGAATGGTAAATAAGATCTATGGTATCCAAAGTAATTGGATATATATACTGTATCTATATATGTACATATATGAAAAGCTAGCTCAAAAGGAGACACTAGTGCATTTCAGACACGCCCTTATATTTTTTGTCCTCTGAAAACATAAGATTTTGAATATAATAAAATGAAAAAGAATTTTAAAAATTCAATACTCTAATATAGATTGTGTTAAAAATATAAAACTCAAGCAATCATAATGGATCATACTTTGAATATATCAACAAATGGTTCTGGTAAAGAAAGAAGAAAGAGCTAATCAATGAGGTAAACTTACATGTATAACTAGAACTGGACAGCTGACATTCCGTATTTTGTCTATATTCTGAAGATATCAACAGAGGTTTCTCAATACGAACCAAGTAATCAAAACAAGGAAGGAGAAGAAATCAGAAGAACAACCGATTGAAACTTACTTTGAAAATGTCAAACCAGAATGTCATTTTGACAGGATATAAAACTCGTATGCCCGATAAGATGGCACTATGAAGAACAACACCTCTCAGCCTCTGTAAACGAGCAGCTAAGTGTAGTGTAGGCCCGCTTCCGACAGATTGGCCATACAAAATCACACTCTCCTGTTTAATTCCGTATTCATCCTTCAAACAATTGTAGACCGCCTCTATGTCATAGTATGTGTTGAACTCAGATGGCTGTCAAAATCAAATCAGTTTCCAAAACAAGTGCAATAATGAGCTGGATAAATAGATCATGGCAATAAATAAATAAAAATTTCATTTATTTTTTCCATGTATTTTCCCAAATCTTTTGAATAGGAAAGTTATTGAGTAAAGTATGAGTTCATATAAAGCCTTTGAGAATTTTAACTCGATATAAAGATTGGCTTTATATTTTCCTTACCTTACCCGTGGATGCTCCATAGCCCGAATAATCATAACTGCAAAATAGCAAAATGTACCAAGTCAATATTGAAGACTAAGTTCTAAGCCATACTAAAATGCATCAAATTGGTGGCTTTTACCACTGAAAAATCATATCAGCTGCAAGTTAAATTCTGCTGTCTAAGACACTACAACTTCTAAAGTACAAGCATTTTCAAACAAATAAAATCTATGAACTTAATGGTCAATAATTTGATATGAATAGTAAGCCCATAAAACCAAAAAAAATTACAAAAAATATGAGCCTGGAAAGCCATAAAGAACCCTCTTCTCGCCATTTCACAACATCAATTAAAGCTTTGGCAGAACTATTCACAAGGAAGGAAAACTTTAACAATTATAAACTGTGAACAGAAGAAAACAAGAAACTAGAAGCAAGCAACCAAAAACCAAAAACAAAAGAACAATACAATGGCACTGTGGTTGGCGTTTCCATCACTAGAGCTCACAAATAGACAGAAATGCAGACCATGAATAATAGCAAAGAACCCAATATTGCAACGAAAAAAGAGTTCAAAAGAGCAAACTAAAACTAAAATCTGGGGATTTAATCAATTTCAGCACCAAGCCTAACACACAAGCATGCATGAAGAAATACAAGAAAAAGAAAAATCAGAGCAAAGGTAAACAAAAACCTCCCACCATGATTTCAGATAATCAAATAAGAACACACAAACACAAACAGCAGAAAATGGTATGCAAACAATTTACAATAAGTCAGGCAAGACAGAACTTGGAACAAACATAACATAAGAACGACCCATGATACCACAGAAAATTTTAGATTGAACAAAATACACAATACACGTGCACGCGCACACGGACACAGAGGGAGAAAAAAGAGAACAACAATGATGGGTCAAAGAATCCTATGTCAGAAGTGATGCCTGAATTCAAGTCTTACAGCTGTGGTATTAACCTCCTTCCCTTATTACCCTCCTATCGATTGACGAAAAAAAAGAAAAAAAAAAAAGGAAAAGAAAAATCCAACGGGCCTTAAAAAAGAAAGAAACCAATTTCAATCCTAAGTGGCATGGAGAAAACAAAAACAAGATATCCATGAAAAGGAAATCATTAATGACATTAAAAAACCCAGAGACCAATTACATCAACAAACATAACAAAAATAAAAACCAACCCATAACAGAATAAGAATTGACAGAAACAAAACCACAATCACCTCAAAAGATATCAATGAAACAAATATTACTCATGTTCCAAATTCATAAACCACATATACACATAGTCCCCTCCACATACTACGTTTATACAATAAATAAAAAACTCACAAGCAGGGACGGATTGTGTCTTTGGAGCTATTCTATAGGATTACTCTACATAATTTTGAAATTATTTATAAAAAAAAATTTGAGTGTGCAACCACCTATAATTTTAATTTTAAGTTATTTTAAATTTTTTAATATAATATATGATATTTTCTAAATTTTTGGGGTGCGCCCCCAGATCCATCATTGCCCACAAGCACATTGCAAAATCATCAAAAACAAGCAAAACCCATCATAACCCAGATTCCAAAAAACAAAAAAACAAATATACATACACATATACCTCATGATATTGACACGGAGGTGAGCTCTGAGCTCAATGAAAAGCTCTTTCATCTGACCCAAATCAGCGGCGTTGCCATGAGAGTAGAGAAGCGTGAAGCGCCCAGAAGGGTGGCGCCAGAAGGTGGCGACAACCTTGTTGCCCCCCTTGGTATCTAGCAAATGGACATCAACGTTCTTGTCGGCGGCGGAGAGTCCGGTGAATTCGAGCTTCCCATCATCGTCTCTTTGAACATCGTACGTTGGTGGGTCAGGTGGAAAGAAGGCGAATTTCGCAGCCACACTCGACGTTACATTGCCCATTAACACCGACCCACCAAAGAATATCGACCAATTGATGGAATCAATGAGGTTGGGATTGATTTCATGAAATTTTCTTTTGGTTTTCTGAGAGAAAATTGGGTAGGCAAAGGTATGGAATTTTTGATTTTTTTCGGGGGGGTTTGTTTTGTTTGAGATGGGTTTGGTGTTTGATGATGAATGTCAGGGACAAGTGGCGTTGGGAAAGGGGGGGTTTTGTGAGGGAGAGAAAAGATCCGATCTAGTCGGTACGAGCTCGAAACAGAGACCTCTGATACAAGAAGAGTTAAAAGAGAACAACGGACAAGGTGATGATGATGCTAACGACAAGTCTCTCATGAAAATGATCATGAAAGATTTGTGATCTTTAGATTACCTTGATTAGTGTGTGGTGCTTTATTCTAAGTGTAATCTAAAGCTAATTATTCTCTTATATAATAATAAAAATATTTAAATTATTAATTGAAATAAATTTGTAAGACAATTAAAAATTATTAATTAATTTGATAATTTATTAATAAAATGAATCATTTATTATGAAATTAAAAATCTCAAAAGATGAGATTCAATTTCCAGATTTATAAAAAATGATTTATATTTTAAATAAATTTTAAGAAGTGTGTTTTTAATTTATCTAAATATTTATTTACTGTTACTTATTTAAGTATCCACTCATTATTTACAGTATTTTTTATTGTTTTAGCTTAAGAATTAGATTCCGTCCAGTTGACAATACAACTTGAGAGAGAAGTTGGACATAATGGAATTATGGACCGATTTCGGTCATATGAAATATCACTTTCATGACCCATTGAGTTTGATATTCATACAAAAATTGATAAAATCGAACATTTGTAATTATATATTTGAATCACATTTATCTTTAAAAAAATAAATGACAAATATAATTTCAAGAATAGTTTGTTATATAAATATTATTTAAATATGTAACTATCAATATTCAATCATCTTATTTTTTATATGAATATTTTATTCAACAAATCTTAAAAAGTGAACAATTTGAATTATTGAAATTGACCCCAAAAAGGGCCCATCAAATCTAAAATGTTCTTTCAAGTTAGAGGATCAATTTGAGAAAAATCCAAACCCTTAATGTAAGGTCCCGGTATTTCACATCGGGAATGGAGGGAAAATTCTTGGGCTATTAAAGTAAAAACCTGAACCTTTGTATAGCATCGAGGCATTTTCTCGAGTGGTGAAATCCCTGGCAGAACTCCCCGGTTAAGTGTGCTTAGGCTGGAGTAATCTTAGGATATGTGACTCATTATGAAGAACAAATCTGTGCAGGCGTGACCCAAAAGCGGACAATATTGATGACATGCACTGCTAGAAAAAGGGGTATATGGCACGGAACTTTTTTCGACGGTATACATTGTCTTCGCAAAAAGCTTCTTTTTGCGATAGTTTAATATCCTGTTGCCAATGGTCACCTATTGCGATGGTAATTTCTGTCTCAAAAAGAATGAAGCATATGCTCAATGATTTTTGCGACAACAAACCTATATTCGTCGCAAAAGGCTCATTTTTTGCGACGGTTCTTCTCGCCCGACGAAAATATATATTTTTAATTTTTTTTTTTTTTTTTTTTTTTTTTTTTTTTTTTTGCGATGGGCATCATTGTGTTGTCGCCAATAGCCACAAAACACCCAAATTTCCCAAATTCTCAAACGCTGGCGTCTTTGATATTTTCATTTTTCCCACCCCTCTCTCTCTCTCTCTCTCACGCACACACACTCTCTCTCTCTTTCCATCTTCCATCTTCGAGTTCTCTCTCTCTCTCTCTCTCTCTCTCTCTCTTCATCTTTCATCTACGAGTTCACTCCTGCCGACATCAGTTTGTTGATCCACCTTCACCAAGTTGACATCGCCCCCCACCCTCTCTCGATCTCGCCATCGATCTCGGTCAGTACATGGATATCACCTCTCTCAAAGCTTTGGAAGTCATCAACATTCAATTGGTACCTTCCCAATGGTCTTACAGATCCAAAATTTGCATTTTTATTTGCAGTTTGCACTCATCTGTTTTCATCTCTCTCTTTTAATTCCTTCAAAAACCCTAGAGTTTGAAGGTAATGACTCTCTCTCTTTCTCTATTTTAATTTAGGAATTTTGCATTCGATATTTGTACTACGAATTTGAAATTTATAAAAACCTAGAGCTTGAAGGGTATGGGTTTTATCTCTGCATTCGAAATTTGTATTACAGATTAAAATCCTCGTAGAGTAATAACCCTTCTCTATTTGTTGTTCTATAGTCATTTATTGCTATATTTTTGTCTGAATTTTTATAGTCTATCTATAAAAATAAAGCATCTCAGTTTTTCTCTTTATTGATCTGTTTTTTTTTTTTTTGTGTGATCTTTTTGACCTTTGAACATTTGTGCTAGAAGCAACTTAGTTTCCCTTTTTCTGTTTTTTGTTTCAGTTTCATATCTTTGATCTTTTTTTCTTTTCTTTTTTTTTGTTTGTTTTGTTTTGTTTGTTTATATGTTCATCACCGTAATTGATTGATAGACTTGATGGTGATGAAATAAATGAGGAGATCTATGTGCAGGTTTGTTCGACGATTTAGCCCTCTAAAGTCAGATCTCTGTATCTCTCTCTGTTTTCTTTCCATTCCATATATTCGATTTCCAGATTTTTTTAAATTTCTTTTGGTTTTGTCTTCAACCCTTTAGTCAAGTCATAAAGATGATGATGACAGAGTTAAAGAGATCTATACGTAGGTTTTTGGCTCAAACCCAAATTATAAACATTCATATCTATCACATTTGATGTTATTCTATACGCAGGTTTTTTGGCTCAAACCCAAATTATAAACATTCATATCTATCACAGTTGATGTCGTTTCGTTCATCGATTCACATATAAATCCAGCAAAATCCAAGGTTCTGACTGAGATCTTTGTCTGTCCTTATCTTTTTTTACATACATGATCTACTTCATCACTTTTCTTTCCAATTTTGTGATCTAATCAAATCTAATTTTCTAATTTTGTTTATTCAATCAGATCTAATTCTTTGTTGTTTGTTGAGAAACTATACTATTTGTAAAACATTTTTTTACTAGAGCTCCTCTCCCCACTCCAATCCCCAATGAGGGCAACCCTCATGTCTCCATGCCATTTTGATGGGGTTTCTAGAAGGTGCTGAGTAAATAGATTATAGTTTGGGGAGAATGTTTTGATGTATATTTTTATTATGTTTGTAGTTCTGTATATCAATGCAAGCAGGAAAATCTCCATGATTTGTTAAGAATTACTAGAAGTAAATAATCTTTGTAAAATATCAAAAATTAAGGATGGATTGAATTAATGTTTCTATGAATGAAGTTGGCTATGTACCTTAATATCGATTCTCTGTGTGTGTTGTACATGGGCACTTTGGAACATGTTAATCTATGCAAGTTTGATTTGATAAAGAAATTTTTGGTTTGACACTAATATGATATTCCGAGCAATGGAAACTTTCTTCTCTTTGTGATCCTAAATTTTAGTTTTATATTTGGTTGTTGCCATTTCACGGTATCTTCTCCACAACATTTATGGCCTCTTCATGTTACCTTGGTTGCTGTACTGGCTATTTTGTGGATCAGAATCAGATTACCATGTTTCGAATTATATGTATATATTCTGTATAGAAACTCTAGTGCCCGTAAATTAAATTGGAAATGTGTGCATAATATAAAAGGATATTGTGTTTTGTTCACCAAAATTTCAAAATAAGAAGGAAAAAACTTGCTATTCAAGAACCTATTTTTGTAAATATCATTTTTTGTTTAATTTTGTTCTCGAAAATCTTATTTATCTGAATATATGGTTTGCCAATCATGTCTATTTTTGTCATGGAATATGTAGTCTTGTAAAATGGGCCAAGTTGGTGTTCCTTAAATTGATGCTGTTTTATTACCTTTAAAAAAAATAAAAATAAAATAAAAAAAAACAATTGCAGACTATATATCACTAGATGAGCTATTTTTCTTCCTCCCTGTTTTTTCAATTTTCTTTTAACTCTAGCAACATTCAATTAGAGATGAAAGTATGCCAATTTCCACAAGCTAGTGAAAATCCATTAGAAATTCTTGCTCTCTGTTTCAATCAATGTGTGTTGCCTCAGTCCCTTAATACTAAATTCTTACTCTGTTACAAGTTACAATCTCAATTACTAATCTTGGTGGCACAAAAATTGATTTGAAAATTGCTAGTAAGGATATCCATATGTCATTGTTGCTGAATTGCCTCATATGCTTACATAATTTGAATAATTTCTAAACAGAAGCTTTGTTTTGGGGGTTTGCTGATAGCCCTTTAAAGGGCTTAAATAATTTGGATACATGCTACTGATTGTGATTTTGAGCAAGCCTCCATGACCATGAGTGCTTTTTGTATTAGTAACTGACCATAGAAAAACTGTTTAAAGCATTTTAAAAAGTTTAGTTTTTGTGTAACTCCCTGTTGGATTTTAGTATTGTGGTAAGTAAGGAGTAGGTAACCACTTGGTTGAAATGGAGACATAAAAGATGATCCTTTTGTCAAATTTTCACTAAGCTTTCTAGGTTCCAGTAACGTATACCAAATCTTTTGAAGGTTGTAAAAACTTGAACTGATTTTAACTTCTAATAAATCACAACAGTGGAAGAGATGCCCAACTTAGTTGTATCATATTTATTATTATGTGATAGTTCATAGAAAAAATTATAAATTCTCAGTGTAATTGGAATGAAGATATAGTGTGATCCACTGTTTGAATTGAACCTTTGCTCCATGGAATTCATTACACTAGAGTCAAAGAGGAGTTGTGCAGTTTTATCCAGTAGAGTTGGAGCAGGAGGTTTACAAGAGTACTCTTCAATGCAGTTGAACATTCTCGGAGGCATCTTCTGTTTGTTGTTTTTTTTTTTTTTTGGTGAGCTACCTCTTTAGTTCTAGTTCATGAATATGCGCTCAAATCAAACATTGACAGTCTCACACATGCACGTATGGAGGGGGATTTTTTTTCTTCTTATTTTAGCTGATTTTTAGTATAAATAACTGTTTGTTTACTTTTTAACAGAACATTAAACTTGCACATGTTGAGACTGCATTGAGTTTGTGGTCATCTCTCTCTCTCTCTCTCTCTCAATTTGGTATGCAACTTATGCATTATGGTCATTAGCCTTTCTGGCCACGCTAATATTCTCTGTCGTGTTCTATGAAATAGTTATGAAGTGTCAGTTTTCTCTTGCACAAACCACCCTCCTGCAAAAAAAGATGGGCAAATTCCTAAATTCTCAAACGCTTGGCAATGCATTTGCTTATTTGCAATACAATTATCCCTTTTTTCAAATGACAATAAACCTGTTAACTGTGCTACTAGCTCTTCTTGAATTATTTTGCATATATGCTTGATCGTACAAATTGGAAAACTGTGGTTGATAATTAGTGTTGTGTGGTGGTCTTGACAAAGTTATCTGGCTTGGCTCTCAAGTTAATAAACTTGAGCTTGAAATTTATTGAATGTTATATACTATTAAGATCACTGTGCAGCTTACTAGAAAAAAGTATCTCCATAATTGCTTGGTATCGGACTGTGCTTAAATTCAAATCATTTGTGCTTGTGCAAAAATTTTGGTTCAGCTAAAATATTGTAAATTGTGTTTTTTTAAAGCTAAACTCTAGCATTGTTCAACCATGTATATTAATAAATAGTCAATGAGTCTTGATAACTTGGTTTTGGAATCCTCGAATGAGGATTGATATCATTTGGATGGCCAAAATTGATGGGAATCCTTTTTGAGGAGTTTTGAGATGCCCATGACTGAAATTTTATATAAAATTCATCTGCCCTTTGATGGTTTTTACGGCATTTTGTTGTTAGAAACATCATATTCTAAACCATCCTCAAATCATTTAGGCAAGTTTGTCTCTGAGAATATTTTCAATGAGCTTCATAATCATATTTATGTGTTAGGAAATTTAGGACTATTGAATTAATTACCAATAAATCTGTTGAGAAACATACTTATTCATAAAAACATAAAATGAAGACTCAAAATAACTTGAGACTTGATTACATAAGGTAGGCTTGTGTGAAATTGCTAATTTGACCTTATTCTTTTTGGCGTGCTATGCATCAATTTAGAATGTTTTTTTGACATTGATATATAGGTTGAATTAGCTGATAATACATCATAAAAATTACAAGACACTGCATCATTTTGATATAGAACTAGTATGCAACAGATAACTGTCAAGTGATCCTTGCTGCAAAACATTGCAGAGTGTATATATGTCTGTGTGTCTCTTTCTATGTCTGTGTAGAGAGAAAGATGGAGGACTGATTGGCGGATAGACAGATGAATGCTACAAGTTTATGAATAATAACTAGTGAGCTGTATGCAACTCAAAAAGTGTGGATGCTGTTGTTGCTGCTATGATGAATTATTCTGCAGCAGCTTATAAGCATAGACTTAGAATTTCTCTCTAGTTGAGCTATCCACTGGAGTATGGTAACTTGACTAATTGGCTATGCCGATTCAAACAAGATTTGATCATTTTTTAGATGATGTCACTGTACTTGACCTATTGCTTGATTGATTTTGGATCTTACAAATTTACGTGTAAAGTCAATTGACTAATTGCACTTTGATTTGACTTAGATATTTGGATTGAGTTCTTCAGTGGCTATAAGGGCAGACTTTTTGAAGGATTTAGACTATGAAAACATAAAGCAAACAATTTTTGGGACTAGGAAATCCCTTTTTGTCCTAATACAAACTTTGGGGTGTCATCATTTGTGAGTGGAAAGTACATGCTGACTTCAGCAAGTTTCTACTCCAGCTACTTTCAGAAATTCCTGAAGTTACCGAGGTTCCAAGCTTTAGTGGGGAAGCATAGTCTTACTTGCAAGGATTGATTGATGGATTTACCATAAATGATGCCTTGGAAGTTAAAAATATAGAGAAAGTGACAAACCATGATGTGAAAGTAGTGGAATGCTTCTTAAAATAGAAATGCCAATCACATCTAGAGATTGCGAAGGTTTGAACTTGTTCTCCAATTTCTTCAGATATTAAAATGACCAGTTTTAGTACATTTATTTGACATAATTCAACTGTTGGTGTTGTGTTTTCAGTTGTGTTGTGATGCTTATCATGATGTTAATTTTGCTAATGCAAATTTTTTTAGCAGTTAACCTGTTCTCTTTCAGTTGCTCAAAATAGTATAATGACTGCCTTAGTGTATTTGACATAATTGAATTGTTACTGTAGCCAATCTTAAAGTTGCAATGCCTTTCATTATTACTATTGCTAATTGAAATATTTTGTTCATTGGTATTCAAATTGTGGTAGCTGGCATTCCAAAATCTACTCATTTCCACCTCATTACTATGATTCGTTAATGTCAAATGCAACCATAAAGCAAGCTAATTGGGATGCTTCAAAAGTTCGTACAGGGTTGAGACAAGAGCTAAGGGATGAGATTAGAGACGAATTGAGGAAGGCGATGTGAGCAGAGCTTTCGACACAAATACAACAAATGAAAGCTGAAAATGTTGGCTATCGTGTCTCAGGAAGGGAGTACAAATCACAACAAACAGGTTTGGTATAAATTATGTTTTATAAATATCTAACTTAAGCACAATTCTATTATTGTATATAAATACGATTAACAAAGAATACCATAAATATCATAGGTACCGGATGCATTGAGTGGCCACCGAGAACCTACAGATTATAAGGCCGATGAGAACCCCCATACACCACCACTAGATGATGAGGTAAAACTTTCAAACACTTTGAAAACTTGTCATTTGTGAAAACTTGTCGTTTAGAAACTTTTTTTCCGAACCGGTTGACTCACTAAAATGGTCAAACGGTGTTGGATGTCGACGAACTAGGCACAAATAACTTGTAGGAGAAGACGAAAATCAAAACCGATTCCTGGTTTTGAATGTAGAGGCTAATTTCCGTTTATGAAAATTGTTCTTTAGAAAACTTTTTTCCGAACCGGTTGACTCACTAATATGGTCAAATGGCGTCGGATGTCAACGAAACTTGACACACATGACTAACTAGGCACAAATGACTTGTAGAAGAAGACAGAACTCAAAACTAATTCCCGATTTTGAATCTAGAGCCTAATTTCGGTTTATGAAAACTTGTTCTTTAAAAACTCTTTGAACCGGTAGACTCACCAAAATGCTCAAACGGTGTCGGATGCCAATGAAACTTGGCACACGCGACTAACTAGGCACAAATGACGAGTAGGAAAAGACAGAACTAGAAATTGATTCCCGGTTTTGAATCTAGAGCCTAATTTCCATTTATGAAAACTTGTTTTTTAAAAACTCTTTTTTGAATCGGTTGACTCACCAAAATGCTCAATCGGCGTTGGGTGTCAACGAAACTTGACACATGCGACGAACTAGGCACAAATGACTTGTAGGAGAAGACAGAACTGTAAACCGATTCCCGATTCTCTATTTTGAAACTAGAGCCTAATTTCCGTTTATAAAAACTTGTTATTTACAAACTTTTTTTCCTAACCGGTTGACTCACTAAAATGCTCATACGCGTTGGATGTCAACGAAACTTGACGCACATGACTAACTAGGCCCAAATGACCCGTAGAAAAAGACAGAACTCGAAACCGTTTCTCGGTTTTGAATTTGGAGCCTAATTTTCGTTTATGAAAACTTGTCTTTTATAAACTCTTTTTTGAATGTGATGATATCTTTGCATATTGATATTGTAGCTTACAATCTTATTTATTTATTTATTGAAATATCAAATATTTTACATTTTCTATAGGAATGAAATTAATTATATTGTAAATAATGATTTTTTTTTGGGTTTCTTTTTGCAGATGTGACCCCTTTTGAGTATGTGATGATATCTTCACATATCGATATTAGAGTTTACTATTGACATTAAAACAAGTTATAATATATATATTTTTTATTTGTATTGTCAATACTTTTATATTGCTTTAGATACAAAAATTTAAGTTCTTGAATATAAAAAATTATTAGTATTGTTGGAGAATGTTTTATATATTTTTGTGAAGAATATTTGGTTGACAATTGTTATGGGATACATATATACGTATGATTTTGTGGATGTGAATGTGAATGTGAATGTGAATGTGAATGTATTTTATTTTAGAAAATATTAATAATTTGTACATGGAATGAATTAATAAAATATATTGATTTTATAAAAATAATTTTATTGCGACGGTGTAAACTGTCGCAAATATGGTATTAATTTAATTCAACTTTTTTGCAACATTTTAGACCGTCGCTAATAATACTTTTGGCGACGGTTTAAACTGTCGCAAATACGATATTATTTGAATTCTACTTTTTTTGCGACGTTTTAGACCACCACTAATAATACTTTTCGTGACGTCAAATGCCGTCGCTAAAAAAGTTTTAGTGACGGCAATCAATATCGTCACTAAAAGTGAAGTTTTTTCTCATTTTTTGTGTCAGGTTAAACCGTCGCAAAAATCATTGATTAGCCGTCGCTACAAGAAAGCGATGGTTTGTTACCGTTGCAAATACTCTCTGTCACGCCCCTTTCCACCACCCCCCATTTCCCGTCCCTACTCCGTCGCAAAAAGTTTTTTGCGATGATATGTGAACCTTTTGCGACGTTTAAGACTGTCGCAAAAGCTCTGGTTTTTAGTAGTGATGTAAAGGGTTAAGGCGTTACAAATGGTATCAAAGTCGATTCTCTGGAGTACAGAATGTGGGCCCTTGGCGTCTCGCGGTGCATGTGGATAGGCTTGTGAGCTGGCAGGCCATTGCACAGGGACGTGCAGCCCTAAGGAGAGTGGATTATTGTAGACGTCCCTGAACGTTCCGGGAGAAAAATCCCGTTTTGCTCGTTGGGCTCACTATAGTTCGGACTCAAAAGTCACGGTCCTGTATCTAATCTCGCAGAGTGCAACGCAAGACCGATGAATCATCAAAGAGTTCAAATCTGGAAAATCATTTTGGAAAACAAATTTTTAGAAAGAAGTGTTAAACATGGACTGCTTTGCCAGATACAGAGTCGCCACCTAAATATTTTATTTTGGGAGAATTTAGGAAACCTTGACTCGTGCCGAAGGCCACGTGTCCGTCATTACCAAAGTTGCCTCGGCTCGGGAACTTAGGTACGATTGGGGAAGGTTACTTCGTGAGCACACTCGCTTGCCCGATCAAAGATCGGCCTCTACTAACCATGATATCGAGTTTTGAAAACATTATGCATTCTTATTTCGGTTATTAGCCTAGATTTACTACGTGATGCGCACAGCATACAAGTATAGACTGGATTGCCTGAATTGAAACAACACATCTCATGTTTGTTTATTTTGAAAATGGTTTAATGGTGCTACCCGTAAGTAGGCTAAGACGTGGATTTGCCACCCTCGAGTGGGCTTAGAAAACGTGATGGTTTGCCACTCTCAAGTGGGCTTAAAATTCACAATCAATGCATTATTCCAATTCAGATAATTCAACCTTTCCCACAGGTATTCAAGCAGGTATATCACATAAGCACATAGCCTCATGGTAAGCATGCTATCAGGGCAGTCACTCACACACATGCAAGGATGCTAAAGCATAAACACTTACCGAGTACTCCAAGCCAAAACAGAAGCTATGTTAGAAATCCATGCATGATCCTAACTATGCTGAAATGCCTAATGCAACACATGCAAAAATACAACTACAATAGGCTCAG